GGAATTGCTAGCGAGGGCAGAGTCATGACAGCGAAGGCTCCCCAGTCCAGCTGGCAAATGAATACAAGACTTGATCAATACTGATGTTTGCATTTGGAACACATTCAACAATCTCCTGGAATAACAGTAGTGCAAGAGAAACCTACAATGCAACAGTAACCACAGATCAAAGTGCAACAGTGAGATTACACGAAGAATGCCTTTGGAATGTCGGTATACTTGAAAGTGTTCACCTTGCCAGTCTTGTTAGAGATTAATATGAACAAAAATGGTTGTAGTATCAAGTTTCTGGCGTTACGAGACTCACCACATGTGGAGAGAACTTCTTATCATAGTCACGGAAGGCAATGATGAGACCCTCGCCGGGTTCGCTTGTCACGGCCACTTGCAGCTGAAACGGAAAGACTTGTTATGCATTTCTGTTGCTCAAATGTACCTGAATTGTTATTGTCCTACAGGAGCAGTTTCTAAGACAGAACTGTGTGACTATGTTAACAGAAACCCAAAAAACATTATAAAACAAGAGATAAACTTAGGTTCCATAGAAAATAGTCTTGTAGATATTGGAACGTTTTTATGAAAGAAATATATAATTTATTTTATTAATCTGCTTAAATGAGCCTGCCAAGTGTTGCTTAGCATACTCCACTGCTCTTCAGGCAAGCAGGAACAGGTGACAATCTGCCACTGAACAGGATCTCACAGATCAAGCAAGCCTCTTGTATTGAGCTCCTTGTAGAAAGATAAAATTCATATTCAAGACATCCAGCTTCATACATGCACCCATACATACACAAGCAAACAAAAACAGTTCACTTGCACAGTCACATTTCAAGCTCTATATCATCAAGAATATTACAAACACATGTCCAACTCAGTCCTTTCTTGTGAATAAAATAATGTGCGTTAGAAAAACAGGAACAACAACTTATATTCACTGTGTGAATCCAGTGACGCCTTCACTTCTCAGAATGTTGTGTTTTCTATATGAATCTGTAAAATACCTAGAATATTTATACACAAACCTACTACATTAACTTGTCCATGTCACACACATTGGGTCCTTTTAAATACGGTGCAAAGCACAATTATTGCGCAACTGCTCGAACATGTAATGGCGGTCTGGGGACTCGCCCAACGTTGAGAAAAACGCCATACGTCACATTTCAGAATGCACATGATGAAATTCCTAAGGTGAAGGTACTCGACCAAACTCGCACCTAATCAACACGTCTGGGGCTAACCACATCAATCGTCAATGCTAATGAGTTCGCTACTAGAATTCGTTTTGGCCAAGTTCGCGGAGAGAGAAAGAGAGAGAAAAGACATAAGTTGGTAAAATTTGTTGCGTGGATTTAGTCTTTGGAGTCATGGAGGTGTGGTATGACTGGCGTAAGTAGTTTATGTGCAGCGAGTTGGTAATGAGGACGGGTTTGGCTTTTGAGGAAGTTTGCGTGCTAAATTTATTTCAGTTCATAATGGCAAATATTCAGTCTCTTAAAATGCCATAATGCAAGAATCATTGCCGTAAGTTTCTGTGTGCGAATAGTGGCCGTTGCCAATGTTAAAATGAAACTGTTTTGGCTTCACTGTTAAACACGGAAGTTTAGAAGTTCCATAGTTTGTAACATGCTTTGTAACTCAGAACTGTAGTTTGTTAATCGGCTGTACTTCGTATGCGATTATTTGGAATAATTATTAGGCACATATGGATGTGCTTTGTTATCGGTAATATAACGTAACTGTGTTGAGAATCATGTCGATGTCTCTGTCATCAGACCCGGAATTGGAAATGAAAGTTAAAAAAGGTTTTGAAAACGTGTCAAACATGGATTGAGTTGTTTATGTTGAACTTATATACGTAACTTTTTTGTCCCAGATATTAATGCTAAACACTATGTCTACATTCACTTACAGCAACAGAAAGGATTTCAGAAAACATGCACATTGTCGCGAATGAACCATCCCTCGCATTTTATCGCCTGCAGGAGCATGTCCGCAAAGCACTGCCCCCGATGGTGGAGA